CAGAGGCAGAGGGAGATGGAAGAACAGAGGCAGAGGGAGATGGAGGAGCAGAGGCAGAGGGTTATGGAGGAGCAGAGGCAGAGGGAGATGGAGGAGCAGAGGCAGATGGAGAGGGAGGAGCAGAGACAAAGGAAGGTGGAGGAGCAGAGGCAGAGGGAGATGGAAGAACAGAGGCAGAGGGAGATGGAGGAGCAGAGGCAGAGGGAGAGGGAGGAGCAGAGAAAGCGAGAATTAGAGGAGGAACAGCATCGTACAGCCACAGAGAAGAGGCTACGAGAGGAGGAGGAGCAGAGGAAACGAGAGGCCGAAAGACAGAGAGCCCAGGAGCTGGAGGAACAGCAGCGCGCTGATTTGGAGCTGCAGAAGCAGCATGGTGCTGAAGAAGCCGAAGGAAAGGCGCGGCGTGAGCTCGAGGAGAGGAAACTTAAAGAGCAGGAAGAACGGAAAAACTTGGAAAAACTCCAAGCGGATGAGAAAAAGAAGACACAGAAGGAACAGAGCCCGGAGGACAGGGAAAGAGTGGGCGAAAACACAAAGCCATTAGACGCCACTTCGAAACAGCTCGAGGAGACTTGGAAAACCAAACCAGCGCTGGGAGAGGACCTGGATCCACAGGAACGGAAGAGAAGAGCCGAAGAGGTTCGATGGAAAGAGCTGGAGGAGAGGCAGACCATGCCCAGGCCTTTCACTTTTAAAGTGTCTTCGGGAGAAAAACAAATATTGTTTCAGAAGGTCAATCTAACGCCTGTAGCAGCATCCAGCCAGCAAGGCCCTCCACCGGATGCCAAGGACTCACAGACTTCACCTAAAGGAAACGCAGGTTCTCATTCTCTGCCCTCCTCCTTGTATGTCCCTCACACTGCTATTTTGGTAACAGGTGCTCAGCTTTGTGGAACCGCAGTGAATCTTAACCAAATTAAGGACACGGCGTGTAAGTCTTTACTTGGCTTAGGAGAGGACAAGAAAACCATGGAAGTACCTCCCATTCAGAGCTCCAAGAAAACTTCCCCTGAAAGGAAGACGAATGCTAACAAAACTAAATCGCTCAACGAATCTGCGAGAGACCAGGCCAGTGCTGCAATATTAGCAGAGTGGGCCAGCATAAGATCCAAGATTTTGAAATCTGCAGAAAACGAGAATCTTCATGAAAGGGAGGCGAGGCCCCACAGCCGACCTGCCAGTGATGACTTCAACCAGAAGGCATTTCCTGGGTTACACAGCAACCTCAGAAAAACGATGTCAGCGACTGCCAAGTTCTCCATTACACCTGCATGGCAGAAATTTACAGACGGGAGCAAAGCCTTTGAAAACGAGAGTGCTCCAGCTGTGGACCAAGAGGAGAAACTCAACGCAAAAACCGAGCCTCCGTCTCCGGACGCTGCCTCCGATCGCTCTGCTCCCCTGACCTCCCCTGAGCCGGAAGACAAAGCCAGTAAGCCTGCTCAGGAAGTGGACGGCACTGAGGGCTGCGTGTTTGCCAAAGACCTCCCATCGTTTCTGGTCCCGAGTCCTCCTCCCGCTCCCAACAAGCCCCGCTCTCTCTCCGAGTCGCAGAGCCCCCCCAGGGACCCCCAGAGCGCCGGCCCGGGAGGCAGGCCTGAAGAGAAGCCGTCTCCGTTTGGGATCAAGCTCCGAAGGACGAACTACTCCCTGCGCTTCCACTCCGAACAGCCCTCGGAAAAGAGGAAGAAAAGGTACAGCGCTGGGGACAGCTTTGAAGGCGTTCCAGCCCCCCTCCTCCCCAGCGGGCCCGAGAAGGATGCAGCTGTGTTCCCCAGCAAGCCGAGGGACAGAGCCCACAGCAGGGCCGCCGAACCTCCGCAGGTCGTCCCCGAGCCGAGAGCGAGGCCCAGTAAGGTCGCTGTGCCAGCGGCGAGCAGCGAGGGAGACAGGCCCGCGCTGCACCAGAAACCCTCGTTAGCTCCAAAGCCCGCCGATGCCACGCCTCCCTGCTCCCCTCTTGCTAAAGCGGACTTGTGCAGCCCCGGCGACAAGACCGTCCCCTGGCCTGCAGAAGAGGGTCTGTCCGTAAGGCAGAGAAAGGAGGAGCATAAGGACGAGAACAAGCGGCAGGACGAGGAGCCGAAGGAGAAAAGGTCCTTTTTCCCTTCCATCAACATCTCCTGGCGGGAGAAGATGGATCGGAGAGTGGAACTCATCAGACGAGGTCAGTGCACTGATAAAAGCTTTGTTAGAAATAAATTAACCAGCCTTTTATTTCTATATTAATGAACTCAAATATACCACAGTATATACTGCACCCTCCCCATGCTTGCGGTTCTGTGCTTCAGATGAGTAACGTTTTTTGAGGAAAGAACGTCTTTAGTCTCAGGAGAAGAGGGGTTTCAGAATTTGAAGGGGAATGTTTACGATGACGACAGGAGTTATTTGAAATAAACGTTGTTGAAAAGGAAACAAGGACATGGAAGTCAGTCTTGCACCAGTGCTGGAAGATGCTGTTTCACCCACAGAGTTGTTAGCGCATTACAGTGTGAGAGCAGAGGTGCTGTGATCTTTAGAACGTAGCTTGGTGTGACAGAGCCACAGCTGCTTGATTGGAACCTTTGCAAATTCACTTTTCTCCTTAACTGTTGGTAATGCTTATGGAACACAGTAGTCAAAAGGCAAATCAGTCTGATTATTAGGCAAATAAAGGATGCAGGTGCGTAACTGAGCTTAGTTCACCAGCAGCTATGATGATCCCCAAAACCAGGGCTGGGAACCCTTGACAGAGCCCCGGTTCTCGCTTGTGCTCGGTCACACTACAGTACAGGGTCGGGCCCCTGTACTTGGTCACACTACAGATGGGCTTCAGCTGTTCTTCAGCTTTCTACAACTGTTATTTTTACGTTTGACCTTTGTGGGACTGGCTACTATTATCGTCCAAGACCAAAAGATGCAAATAAAAACCAAGACTTTATCCTCTCTGAAGCTGATGTGGTGTGACTGGCCTCCGATTCTGCAAGGTAATTGTGTCGGCAGTTTGGGGAGAGGCGACAGCAACCAGCTCTCCGCGGAGCTGGATTCAGTTCACACATGCAGTGCAGCTGGGCTCTCTGAAGACACGAGGCAGGGCATGCCTCCTCTTGAATTTTCATTATGGTAATTCAATTTGATTCCCCTGATGAAGCCAAGATCAGCGCAACAGTCTTTAGCAATGAGAATTTTGTTAGATTCCATGCAAAACTGTCACACATTTGATTCTAAAAGGAGGTTCTGTAAGAATCCAGCAGCATTTGTCAACATGGGTAACTGCACGAGGTGATCAGGAGCAGGTTGGTTTGTAACCGACTGTGTCTGGTAGCTCTGGCAGAAATGAGCTGCAGCAATGGGAAGGTGATGTGGTGAAAACCCCTCACACACAGCAGCTCTCCCGGGCGACAGCTCCTCTGCCCCAGCGAGGGAAGGACTTGTCGTATCGTGCCCTCGTGTTCGTCGGCCTCAGGACCAGGAAGGGCAGCGCTGTTGGCACATTTCAGCCGCAGCTGCGTCAGTGCCGCCCCCTCGCTCCCCCTCGAGGGATCGACCAGTCGCACGGCTCTGGGGATAATTAAGGTTGACGTTAGGACAATGAAACGGTTGAACACTTGTATTTAAAATGCACCACCCTGACTGTGTGCTGCCGTCTCATGCCAACATTTTTACTGCCAGGGCCGTGTCCCAGGCAGACTGAGACCCTAGGTACCGCAGAGGTGGGGCACTGACGGTGGGGTTGGAATTAGCCGACCCAGAGTTTAAAATAATAATAATAATTCCTGACAATTCTATAGCACGTTTCTTGACACTCCATTCAAAGGGCTTTACAGGTAATGGGGACTCCCCTCCACCACTATCAGTGTGTCACCCCCACCTGGATGAGGCGATTCCTAGGTGGTCTCCCATCCAGGTGCTGACCAGGCTCACACCTGCTGAGCTTCAGCAGGCTGCCAGTAGTGAGCTGCAGGGAGATCTAGCTGCTGGCTTTCCTAGAGTTTCCTCCTGGAGTGAAAAGGTGAGTGTCCTGTAGGCTATCAGTGGTGCGAGTGGGAGATGGGACGCTCTTCCATGCAGCCCTGCTTGCAGGTGGGCATGTTGTGGGAGAGTGCCTGAGACCTGCAGCCGTGCAGCTCCGTGATCATGGGTTCGATCCTGGGTCAGGTCACTGGGCGAAATGTAGCCAGGATTCCCCCAGTGTTGGCACACAATTGTCTGAGCATCTCCATGGCGGAGTTGGTGAGGGACAGAGCTCTCCTCCAATCAGTGCTGAAGCTCCAGTCTGGGGCGGGGCAGCTTGGATGATTGGCTCAAAGGAAAGCAGGTGGGTGGAGCCTGTCTAAATCCTCGTTCTCCTCCTGTGTGCGGACGTGAGGTCCATATCTGTGAGCCGAGGCGTGAAAAAACACAAAAGTGTATGTATGGCTTAAAAGTGACCTTAGATAAAAATATAAAAAGCTATTGAAATCTTAAAATGTAGAATTTTCCAAGCAATCACTCGTAGTAGCAGGAATGTGGAATTCCAAAAGTTTGTTCTGAGAAAAATCACAATAAATTATTTGTTTTAACAGGTGCTTAAAAACATTAAAAATGCAAAGCCTTGTGGTGAAAGACTGCTAAACGACTGCTGACGGTATGATATACTGCATGTTATCACTTTACAGTACTTCCCAACGAGCAGCTGTTATTCCTAAAAGCAGCTCGTCTTCTCTAGAGTGCTGTGAGGCTCCACACACTGTGAGGGCCGACGCAGTCTTGGCGCGTTTCAGGGTGTGAGCCTGTGGCTCCGAGTCAGACTGGTGGCCACGCTTGGGCAGGAGTGCAGCCAGTCTGCCCCGTAGAACAGCTGGGAGAGCGCGCAGCCTGCGAGGGAGGCGCTCTGGTCACTGGGTGTTCGTGTTCGTGTCCTTTCAGAGAAGCCGACGCTCCAGAGCAGGCACTCGCTGGACAGCTCCCGGGGGCCTGAGCGGGGCGATGCCGGCCAGCCTCTCTGGATCTCGCTGGCGCTGCAGAAGCAGAAGGGCTTCCGGGAGCAGCAGCTGAGCCGGGAGGAGAAGAGGCACATGAGAGAAGCCAGGCTGGCTGAGAAGCAGGCGAAGGATAACGTAAGAGCATGTCTGGGTTGCTTCCGTGTGCGTACGGAGCAAACCGCTTAGGAACCGTCAAACAGGAGAACACCACACACACACGGCCCGCCAAATTCCAGTTTCATCCACAGGCGCCATGACAGCAGAAAAAAAATCTCAACAGGCTTGTCTTGCCAGGCTCTCTTTCAGACCTCAGAGCCTGTGGGAGGACCCGAGTCAGAAAAGCACAGATGTGCTCAGCAGCTGTAAAACTAAAGTGCTTGCCGACACTTTTCTGTTACAGAGTGCAGCTTCCAGTCCGTCAGAGAACGCAGGAGACAGCCACAGCCCAGTGTTGCCAAAACCCCCCATGCAGGACGCGGAGAAGAAGCCTGACACACTCTTATCCAGATTCGAGCGCAGGGAGCAGTTGAAAAAATCCAACACCCTCCCGAACTCCGTTACAGGTAGGTGACTGAGCCGCAGTCACAGGGTCACGCTTTCCCCATGGGGCGCCTGTACATTCACCCTCCCTGCCACACGTGCAGGAAGTGAAACATCTGCAATGAAACTAATGGAATCGATGACATTAACACACTTTACATTTTCCGACTTGCCGAAATCCTTCAAGGAAACTGAAGTTGTTAAGAGATTTCAGCAGATTTGGGTTGCTTATAAAGTGAGAATGGTACTAACTCTTGGCACTTGTTCTTTTTTGTTTGAACACAATATTTATACCCCACACCAGGGCCTCCTCAGAAACTGAAGTATGACCCACGCTTCTTCAGAGTAAAGGCTGAGCCCTGTAGTCCAGCCCTCACTAGCTCAAGTCTGGGCAGTGCCAGTTCTTCGACTGTGACTGGGACGGCCCCTGAGCAAGGCCCTTTACCCCAGCTTCTCCAGGGGTGCCGTATAAACGGCTGACCCTGTGCTCTGACCCCAAAAGCTTCTCTTTCTCCCCGCTTGTGTGCCTCAGCAAGTTGGCGTATGCAAAACAAGACCTAATGCAAGGAATTGTTAATGGCCAATAAAGTGATTTTATGTTAACTTCTCGCTCTCCCGCCGCAGTTGAAATCTCCGACTTGCCGGTTTCAGCCCCGCCCGTGAAGGAGGTGCCCAAGCGCGTCCCCCCGGCCGAGCTGGCGCAGGTGTCCAGCGAGCCCGCCTGGCTGGCCCTGGCCAAGCGCAAGGCCAAGGCCTGGAGCGACTGTCCTCAGATTATCAAGTAGCCGCTTCACGACGTTGACCCCTTTCCTACACCGCTACTGGTTTCATTTCGGACCACAGGGGTTCTCGCTTTCAGTCCTGGAATTCCTGGGCCTCCAGGTTTACACCTGGATCTGCAGGAGACGGGACCAAGCGTTCCCATCGGCAGCCCGACCTCCCCAGCCCCTCCCCGCCCGCGTGCTCCCAGGCGTCAGCTGCCGTCGTGTGGCCAAACGGATCTCGTGAGCCAAACGGACAGTTGTTCCTTGGATGTCCCACGAGCGGACGCGTGCGTAACCGAAGCATGTTCCCGATTCTCCAAAAAGAAAACGACTATCCCTGCAAAATGAAGTGTAACCTGAAGATTCCGTTGTTCCGGTTGGGTCCTGCTTTCTGTTTCATGCGTCACTCTAACCCCCAACACGAGGAACCCGCAGTGGTCTAAGGGCTAGCCTTGTAAAAAGAAAAATCAACACCAAACAACCAACTATTTTATTCCAGCTTTGAAAACATTGCAGACTGATTCCTTAGGAGTACGTGTTGGTCAAAATACAGGAACTCTTCCTTTTATTGCTTCTTCAACTTCTGCTGGACCATGGGGCACAACTCTAAAAACAACTTCCAGGCTACACTTTTTTTAAAACCAGTTTTCATTTGGTTTTCTTTGCTCCTCTGATTGTATATATGAAGTGAATGCTGTTTATAATTTATATTCCTTTGGACAGCTTTGGGAACAAGGGTTTAATGATCACGATAGGGTTATATGCAAACTGTGGTTGAAATAACGTGACTACTGTTAATCTGCCTGTGCTGTGATCACTTCTTTCTGACTTGACACAGAACACAGCACCACAACTAATGCACTGAAAAATAAGTATTACTGTTCTGTGTGGTTTATGATCTACTTCAAGATGCAGCTTTCTTGCACGGTATGTCATAAACAACTTTAAAATGCTCTGAAAGAACATTCCCAATTTCTCGTTCCCTATTGTAAGAAGAAGATCTTTGTTGTAGCTTTTGTGTACTCTCATTATTAGATATGTTTCCGAACCAATGATGATGAATCATTATGTCTGCTTCTAAATGGAACAAGTTACGTATAGCAGTCATTTTATGGTACATAACAGTAGTCTTATTTAATTTTTAACAATTTCCCAAAGTGCAATTGTTTCATTGGTTTAATTTTATTAATGTGCAATAGTGTAGTGTAATCAAAGTGTTACAAGAATGAAGTCTTTAAAATTGCACTTTTTGTCCCACTTAGATGACGTTATACTGAAATTCTGACATGTGATTCAGATGTCTTGCGTTATGTAGTAAAATTAAATACAATACTTTAACTTCTTGTGTTTCAAGAGTAATATGTACATCATTATTAATGCACTTCCTAAAAAAATGCATAAAAAAATATTTTTCGAGAAACCTTCGGCAGCACACCACTTTAGAGAGCAGTACCTAACATGGTTTGAGGTTGTCTTCTTGAGAGAATACTAACTGGTATGAAATTCGTTTTAAAATTGACACCCCCCCAACCCTCTCCAAAAAAATATTAAAGGTAAACAAGAAACTGCGGAAAAGGAGAAGGAACACGAGCTCACTGTCCAAAATCCACCACGGATCTGCCCCAGCCCTTAACGGTTTAAAAGCTGGGGGAGGTTGTTTTATTGTCTATAAAAATACACAGTTCAAGGAAACAAGGGCAGAAATGCACAATTACAGACAGCCACTGCGACGGCTGTGCGTGCACCAGTGATCGAACCCCTGGCGCATTGTCCCGCGGAGCCCAGGCCCCCATGTTCCCTCTGTGATGGGAGTTAGCGAGCGCAGCGAGAGGTCTGTGCGGCACGCCGCCGGGGATTAAAACTCCAGGCAGTAGACGAAGTCATTCCTGCAGCCGACGCACAGGCCACGCCCCCACACCACGGGGGACGAGAACACTTCTCCCGGGAAGGAGTGGGAGCCCCTCAGCGCCCCGTCTGCCGCGTCCAGGACCCACAGCCTGCCGTCGGCCGACGCCACAGCCACCAGGGCTGGGCCGCCCCGCCCCCCGCCCCCGCCGAAGACGAACGGGCTGGCGAACACCTTCCCCGTCGTCCGGAACCTCCAGAGGAGCTCGCCGCGGGCGCTCAGGCAGTAGACGGAGCCGTCGTGGGAGCCGCAGAGCAGCCTCCAGCCAGCAGGAGGCGCCGGCGCCAGGCAGGGAGAGGAGAAGACCGGGCCGCTAGTGGAAAACTGCCAGAGCTGGAAGAGAGGGCAAGATGAAGCCCGATGTCAACACAGCCGCACGACCAGGACCCTACACTCTGTTTTGCCTTGTGCTCATCAATCTCTCTTATTCCCCGAACACCATCAGCACCGAATCAGCAGCTGATTTTCTAAGATAAAATCTTGGTGAGGTTTTCTGCATGCACGCTTCGCAAAAGGCTCACTTCTGGTCAAACCTCCCTCTGCTGCCCCAGCCCCGACGCTGCGTCCTCACCTTCGCCCCGGCGTGGCTGAAGCAGAGTATGCTCCCGTCCACAGAGCCGAGGCACACAGCCTCCTCCGAGCAGCAGGGGGAGGAGAAGAAGGGCCTGGCGCCGGCATGCTCCCAGATCGTGTCTCCGCTGTCCTGCAACAAGCAAGGCAGTCGGCTGAAACAGGACATTAAAAATTGATGCAGGTGTATCTTTTTACTCGCGCTCACGGCTGTATGCTGTGCTACACAGTCAGCAATCGTGCTGCGCGTCTCAGGTTCCAGAGTCGGAATAAAACGTGCCAAACGTTAATGTTTTCCTGCCACTGTTCATGATGTAAGCAGCGATAATATTCATAAACATACCAGGTTAGCTGAATGAGACTCGCCGATACTCGGCCCAGTACAGCAGTGCCTCTGGAACGGAGGTGTGTAGGTTCACGTCATTCACGTTTTTGTCGTATTAACACGGAAAATCAAAAACCGGGATGCATGGGGACCAAATTTAGAAGGCAGAACTACTCATCTTAATCTATAATGAGTATATTCAAGAGGTTTCAATTTCTACAAAAAAAAGCCACTCCTTTTGAATCTTTCAAATCTTTCCCCCTGTGAAACAAGCTCAGAAGGTTTTGGAGCAGCTTGGTTTCCTCCCTGGAGCTGGCAGAGTTGCGAGGGCGAGCTCTCCACCTACCGGGCTGAGGGCCAGGAGCCGGGACCCCAGCGTGGCCACGTACAGCTGCCTGGGCGAGCAGTGCAGGGCTGGGGAGGAGAACACCGCGCCGCCCCCGCAGTGCCGGCTCCAGGCGCAGCAGCGGGCCTGCGGACCGAGAGGAACACCGTCAGCGGCCGCGCAGAGCACGCCCCCGGCCTGCCGCGGCGGGAAGCGACCACAGGCAGCTCAACCTGCGAACCCGCTGCCCCGCTGGGACTGCCGTTTCCACATGAAGTCACCCTCTGAAAATAACGGCAGGATGGTGCATTTCAGGCTGAACATTGGGAAGGAAAATGAAATTTTAAATTGCACACCATCGAAGGAAGTTGTTTAATGAAGTAGAAAGAAGACGATTATTTGCTGGAGTGTGAAGTATGAAAAAAAATGCTCCACATAAAGCACGTTGGCACGTTGTTGTGGAGCGGATAACTCCGAACGATTCGCTTTAAATGGTAAACGAGCCCAAGTGACGTTTGACATATTAACTTTTCAAACCATCCTTTTACTAACCGGTTCTTCCAGTGGGGGAGACAGAGTCTATCCCAACAAGCAACACGCGCGATGGCGGGGTACACCCTGGGCAGGACGCCAGTCTGTCACAGGGCACACACTGATACACACACTCACACCAGGGCCAGGACGCCAGTCTGTCACAGGGCACACACTGATACACACACTCACACCAGGGCCAGGACGCTAGTCTGTCACAGGGCACACACCGACACACACACTCACACCAGGGCCAGGACGCCAGTCTGTCACAGGGCACACACCGATACACACACTCACACCAGGGCCAGGACGCTAGTCTGTCACAGGGCACACACCGACACACACACTCACACCAGGGCCAGGACGCTAGTCTGTCACAGGGCACACACCGACACACACACACACACCAGGGCCGATCCCCCCAGACGCCAACTAACCCACCAGCACGTCTGTGGGCTGTGGGAGGAAACTAGAGCACCCAGAGGAGACCCACACGAACACAGGAACACAGACAGCACCCCAGGAATTGAACCCAGGTCCCCGGAGCTGCAAGACAGCATGAGTGCCGGCCCATATTAACATCATCTTCCTTTAAATGAAGATGTTTACAAGTGTCGGACAGGTTAGGTTTTAAAATCCATCTGAATGCACTGTAAATCCACTGACTCCAGTAACATTTCTATGCACCTTTTGGGGACTGCGTTGAGCTTGATCCACACTGACATACTGCTCAAAAGAGAGCAGAGATACACTCTGCCAATAGTTTTATGCAACTCCGAAAAAATAAAAGAACTGCAAGCTTGCAAAATGTGGTGAAGGAAACCGAACATCATGTTAATTTAGGCCCTTCTGAACCCATTTAATTAACTGCTCATTTAGCAAATGCCAAAGAAACGAGGGAGAGAGAGACATCTGTTGAAGACGCACAGGATGCGAAACGGAGCATTCAATGAAAGAAAGACGGATGTCACTGCGTGGGCACAGAACAGCTGCCCAGCTGGGAGCATCTGAATGGCGTGCTTACTACAATGAAGAACGCTCTCCGTTCCAAAGACTGTAGTGCACTCTTGTCCACGCAGTAAAGAATACACACTAACTCAGTTAACCTTATTTACACTCAATCTCACAGTGTAAACCTAACTTACAGTAACGTACAGTGCTCTTTAAATAAAACAGCAGTGCTACTGAAGAGTGGCATCAGAGATACATCTGGGTCCTGCCGTTCTTAAAGGACAGCACATGATTAACAGGCTCTTTCCTTTTAGTGACTAACCAAGGCCTAAACAGACAAGTTATCTTCTTATCCAAGTTAATTATTGGTGCAAATAAGTCAGTTCAGAGAAATGAAATTCAGGACATCCTGCTGCCCTCAAAGAATGCCCATCCCCATTTTCAGCTTGCTGATATACCAAACCCAGCCCTGTTTCCCTTCTTTGCGCTGGTATATTGTGAGGTTTGGCCAGATCGCTGTGTAAGAAGCATTTCAGATATCACTCTCAAGTTAATTCTTCTACTTAAAGCCAGGGTCGAAGACTGGGCATTCTTCTGTATCCCTTGAGCTTTGAAACTCCAGTGCAGCACGGTCACCACCCTGAGGTACAGGGAGAACTGCCCCCGACAAGCCACCAGTGGCTCCCACATTGACATGACTGCAGTAACACCAGCAGGCAACCTGACAGCCCGAAATCAGAGCCGGAAGATTTGAGTTTTCTGGAGGCAGACCAATGTGCAATGCATTATCACAAAATACCTTCATTCTGCAGAGCCAAGATCCTTTCTCAAGCCTGGAGACTCATACACAAGATAAATCATGAACAATTTTACAGGAAGAAGAATTAATTTTAGAAAGTCATTGCGTCTCATTTACCATCGAATTATCCACTGCATCAAGGGCCATTAGAATAAAAAAAAGACATTATGGCATACGATTTCTTGTAATGAATTCAAGAACAGGAAGCCAAGTAATGACAGCTATAATTTATACTAAAGATTAAAATAACCTTCAGGTATTGTGTCTGTAGTGGTTGTTATAAAGAAATATAAGTTTAGAACTCTACTCTTACCTCACTGAAGAATATGCAGAAGGCACAAAGAAAATCAGCTCATAATTCTGCTGCATATAATGATTAATTATCAGATTTTGAAAAGCCATTAGAGGGCAAAATGATAAAAGTTTAAAAAATTTAAAGCAGCCTTTTAAAATATATGTTCAAAGCTGAAAAGTTTAGATGCACACTGAACTGAAATGTACCCAGACCACACACACACACCCAGAAATATGTAGCAGTTGAAGATCTCGCTGTTACCTCCGTATTCAGGGCATAGACGTGACCATCATGGGATCCTATGAACACCAGCCCGGTCAGAAGGTCCACCGTGGGGCAGCTTTTCACTGAGCTGCCGGTAGGAAACGTCCAGTACGTCTCGCCAGAGTCCGCGCGCAGCACATAAACCAAGCCGTCGTAGCAGCCTGCGGTTCAGAACACACCCCGCTAACAGCCCCGCCGGCCAGGAATCGGTAACGGCGCTCCGCCGCGACGGCGGGGGCGATGCATACCAACCTACGACGACGAGCCTCCCACATCTGGTCACAGCTGCCGAGGACTCGATCCTGTCCCCCAGGACCCGCTCCCACCTCCGCGCGCCGGAGTCCATGTCGATGGCCTGCATCCTGCGGGAGTGCGAGCCGACGTACGCCGTGACGGGCCCGCCCTCGCCGCAGGCCAGCAGCGCCGGAGACGCGTCCACGCACTTCCCCGTGTCCGACTTCCACCTCACCTTCAGCCGAAGGGGCGCGTCTTCCTGCTGCGGCAAGGGAGAGCCGGTAGCTGCCCCAGACTCAACGCTGCCCCCTGCTGGTGCTGCGGCTGCTCCCCCGCTGTCCTGCGAAGCGTCCGACTTGTCCCTCGTTCTCTCCCGGAGAGCCTCGCTCGACTCGCCCGGGCTCCTCCTCAGGACCTGACCGGCTCTCCTCACAACCACAAAGCCCGCGGGCTCCGGAGCACGCTCTCCCGCCACTTCCTGTCTGCGCGGCTTGGCGAGGGCGGGCGACGCCTCTGCGGCCAGCCGCCTCTTCCCGCGCCCCGGGGCCCCGCCCCCGCGCTTCACGGGAAACGCCACCGCTTCGACGCCGCGGCACAGGTCGGAAAAGGGGCGGCTCAGGATGACTTCCAGGAGTCCAGGAGTGGCTCGCCCCACCGCGGCCTCGATCTCCTCCAACAGGCGGAGAGATCTTATGGAGTCCCCACCGCTGGACAAAAACATTGATTCCGACGGAACGACAGCATCTTCGGGAAGACCAAGAACACCCTGAAGGGGGAAGGGTCATTACACAGCATCACACGGTGCTTCGAGTTACTGCCGGTTTCAGTTCAGAGGTCTCCACGTGTGCATACTGGTACTTTACGACTGTGGGCGGTTCTCAAAAACTGGCAACAGGGTGAGAAAACGTTTTTCTATTGATTGAAAATTGATTTAATTCCCAAAACTTGGCGCGATATTAATGACGACAGGCTCTTACACCCAGCGAAGGCTGTGAAAAATCACTGTGTACCACTAGACTTGTATACTCTATACAGACTGAGGTGAGAGCACCCAGAACTCACGATAAAAAAAAAACAAGAATTTTTATTAAAAATACTACACACAGACCTCTGTACTTTTAATGGGTCGGCAGAGTCCCCCTTTCCTAAATTCTACAGATGAACCTAAAATTGTTTAAAAAAAAAGCCACAACAGGCCCCCCTTTCCGCCGGGTTACCTTCCACAGGGCTTGTAATCGCTCCCACAAGTCGGCTCTTCCGTTCAGAGCGGCCGGCAGCACCGAGAGCCCTCTCTGCTGTTCATAAACCTTCGCAAGCTCGGCCAGGTCCACTTTTCCTGGAGTGGAAACCATCAAGCCACAAAATCACCGCAAGACCAGCAGTCTCCGACAGCACGGCGAGCATACAGCACTTTCACAAAGTTCACCATTTTGTGCTTAATTCGGAATTTGTAGAATTCTGCGATACCGTCAATTTATTCCTTTTGTTCCCGGGATTTAATAACCGGTCTGAGAAACCTGGGACTGTAGTTCAGGTTTAATGAGAAAAGGCCAGTTAGAGAATTCTGCGCAGTAAGATGGTAAAAATGTTACTGCATAATCTACTGCCCCTATCTCTGCCACACCTTCTGCTCAAGAATTGATTACACTCCGAAGAATAATTCTGTATCAGCTGCTGGATAACTAGGAGTACGTTACCAGGTGTCAGAAGAGTGCTAATCTTTAAGATCAGCCGATCTGTACCGAGGTTGCAAAGCGGTCGAGAAGTAATGGAGCTTGATATGAACATAATAAAGCTAAGAAACAGGCACTAAAGCTCTTCCAAACACGCCGACGGCAGAGTGACTCGTGCGCTGACCGTGCAATGTGAGAGGTAAGGCCTCGACTGTCAGCAGCTGGTCGGGAACGCTGTGGAGGGGCAGGAGTTCGGACAGGCTGCGGAGAATTGTGCTCTCCAGGTCCGTGTGCTGACCTGCAGGCACCACGAACGCCAGAAGCCTCTTCCCCTCATGCAGAGTCACAGCACACGCCTGCACGAGGCCCAGCCGCTCAATGGTCTGCAAACAACGGAGAGAATTGCCAT